CACAGTAAGCATGCATTGAAAATGAAGAAACTACATCGTTAAAAACAAATTTAAAGGGATTTCCGTCCCCCAACCCCTGGGGGAAGGATTGAATACCGCCCCTGATCATCAGCGGACCCGAGGTTCCCGCAGCGAAAAATTTTTCGCGCTGCGAAGCGCGAACGTCGCTTTTTGTCCTAGTGAATCGCACCCTGCATAAATGGCTGCAGGGTCAACGGTAAAGGTCAAATGGTGACCTCACTGAAGAAATCGTTCACCCATCAACCTGATGTTTGTATGCGTTGGGTTGAAGGCACGAGCGAAATCGAATTGGTGCACTGTTCTGTTTGAAAATTAAAAAAGGCAGGAAGTGGGATGAGAAGCGTCAGCGGGGGCAAAAGGCATAAAGCGCCATAAAAAAAAACAAATTTCGATAGTGGTTCAGCCATGGTGCGACGGAGACACAGCGCTGCGAGGAGAGGGAAAACGCGAGAGAGCACGTCGTACGCGAGAGGGCGCAGACGCCACGTATGGTGCGTTTATAAGGATGGCAGCACGGCAGCACACAAGGCAAGGTCTTGGCGCCGCTGCCTCGCATTTTGTTTCGCGACAGTGTAAGGTAGGCTTGTAGACCCCTCTTCCCCACTCTGGGAGGGACTAGTCTTGGGCACCTGGACCACACTCATGGCTTTGAAGGGAGTGCTCACGGTAAATTCTGTGGGGACGATACGTAGGGGTCCTACCTAACGAGGTGATAGGTGAGCATAGGTGTTCAACAGGTTGATAAGGCGCCGAAAACCAAAACAAACCATAAACATACTAAATATGATACTGTTATCATTATCGTCCGATTTTCATTCTGGAGTGCACCTTATTCCAAGCAGCCGTATCTTCTTATCTTATGGTAGCGTTTTCCATGGGGTTACACACGTCTGGCCATTATCCATCGCAGATCTTATCGGTTGATAACACGCAGTAAAGACCTCGAAATCAGCATACCCCTTCCGCTAACCAGGAAGGTCTTTCAGGGGTGCCAAGCTTTTTGAAAACGGTCTTTTGCATGATATAGGGGCACATGCGGGAACCACAGAACCATGGTTAATTTTTCCTGAACGGCCCTCTGAATACCAGAAAAGGGGGTCCCTAGTTCGATTCCTCGTGGTGACAAATTTTTGCATTTCGAGTTGACGTTTCAAAATTCGCGCAAAATGGAGTTAGCATGAACTATGAATGTCATATTCATAGTTAGGAGCGTCAGTGACCACGTCAACCTGTGCATGGCCCCTATATCATGCGAAAGACCGTTTTGAGAAAAGTCTGGCACACCTTTCTAGTATGTTGCGATGGCCTGCAAATTTTGATTCGATTGGGTTTAGATATTTCAAAATGGTCTTTCACCGCGTTCATAGTTCATAGCTTCGGATAATAAATCAACAATCAAAGATCAAAATTTGTGGGGTCAGCTCGGTCGATAGTGGAGTTGTGAATTCTGATTTGACCGAAAATGAAAAAAAAATAAGCAAAGAAAACAGTCGACGAAGCCCTAAACAAGGATCTCTTCCGAAATAAGAAAGGGTTAGGGGCCAGAGGAGCTTGCTGCAGTCTAATCCACGTGTCATGGGGTGTGTGCTAAGTGACTCGTCCAAATGCTGACTTTGTAAGAGCCTAGAGCTATTGTCGCGCGCTTTCGAGCCGCAACAACGGCACATCGTGATCGTGGGCTACTCTATCCCACCCGCTAAATGGGTCCTTTGACCCGATTTCTGCTAGGGGTGCGGCTTCAAGACAGTAGGTGACAATGAGAAGGCATGTATGCAAAGGGAGATTACTTGATCAGGAGCCGTATGCTACTCTCCCTCCAGCAGAATGCGTCCTCTCCCTCGATGCTATTCGGAGGTTGGGAGAGACTGTGTTGCGTCATAGGAACCTCCATATCTCTGCGTTTCTACCTTTCAGGTAACGCAATCTATCGGAGGATAGTACCTTTGCGGCATAAGGTTGATACCGGTCAATGGTGAGTCTCATGGCGGCACCCTCTTTCCCCTCTCCTCTAAGCTGAAAGATGATAACGTCGAAGAAAGGGGACGCGTCTACCTGGGAGAATTATAGCGTACGGCCTGAGTAGGTTGGAGTGGAGCAGATAGTCCCACTTCAGCAAATTGAATCTTAGAGCTTAGATTGCGTGCATAAATGATGGATACGTTGGTCGAGTCGATTGCGAAACCAGGGGCGGTATTCAATCCTTCCCCCAGGGGGATATATCCCCCTACTCTGATTCAATCCTCTGGGGGGACAAAAAAGGGTTGCGTCATAGGACCTCGCATACCTCTGTGTTTCTACCTGCCAGACAGTTAGAGCAGCGCGACCCCTCAGGGGAAAGAGTGCCCCCGCACAAGGTCGGAATAGAAAGCAGGTGCACCGTTCATCAGTGGAGGGTAGTAGCGCTGCTCTAACTGTCTGGCAGGTAGAAACACAGAGGTATGCTAGGTCCTATGACGCAACCCTTTTTTGTCCCCCCAGAGGATTGAGAGGATTGAATCAGAGGAGGGATATATCCCCCTGGGGGAAGGATTGAATACCGCCCTATCAAACAATTGTTCACATATCAATTAAAATCGCGGGAGAGTAATAGATAACGAAGCAGGTTACCAGGAGATTAGCAAATTGAATCGTAGTAGCTTAGGAGATTGTGCTGAAATGATGAGATACGTTTTGATCGAGTCGATTGGAACACCTGATCTACTAATCTCGTGCTGTCCTTATCAGGACACGTCGAACCCGCAACTCACACCTTCGTCCGCAAGCCCCACCCTTCGCTGTCGGTTGCCACGTGGCGCTGCTTGAAAAGCGCGGGCGCATTTGAGGCAGCGGTCCCATCGCGACCAATGTTATTGGCACTGGAGCAACTAGAGTTAGGTTCGTGAAACTCGTCCAACGCGCCTCTTCTCTATCCCAAGGTGGAATGTGGCTGAAATAGGGGAGGTCTCTGTACGGGGCGTAATCGGTGGTTTCGTTTGCTTTCCTTCTCTTTTACAGACCACCTCCCACCTATAGCTTCATAACTGAACGCTTTTCCACACCTATTTTATCCCGAATCTTGCCTTTAAACTACAACCTCGGTGATCGGTTTGTCAGGATGTCAGCCTGTATGTCGGTCGGTGTGTTGGCTGTTCTGTTTGCAAAAATGAAGGCCTTTAGTAAATAAACA